TGGACCTTAATGTAGACCAATTTGAAAACTGGACCCAAAATTAAAAATCTAAATACACTGTTAGATTCGGCATAACAAATATATAAATGTGATCAAAGATTTTACAAATCTAATGCGCCATGCTGTGCAATTAAAGATTACTTCTTGAAATTTTTCAATATTTGAAATTTGAAAAAAAAATAATATTTGAAGAATAATTCTTTTTAATTTCTGAAATCTGAAATGAGAAAAAATTGACCCCCACAATTTTTTTTTATCCCCCCCCCCCCCCCCCCCCCACCTTTTTTCCCCCAAAAAATTCTTTCCCTCAAGATATGGTCATAATCTCAATTCAAATTTCCAATGGAGTTGGCAACCATAATTACCCATTTAAATTTACCATAGTGCTAACTTAATCTATTTTATAATAGAATTAAAAATATAGTGTCAAATCTTTTATATGGATTTTTTTGTAAAAAAAAAAGATGCAACATTTGCAGATATTTTTACTGGTCTTCCTTTATAAATATGCATTTCTTTAAACATAATTTAAAAGCAGTGTAAGGGAAGTAACCAAAGCGTTGTATTTGGATTACCTCCCTTACACTGTTTTAAATTATCTTTATTGTTCATTAACCATTACTTTATACATAATTTAAAAGCAGTGTAAGGGAGATAATTTCAATGATGTATTTGATTTATCTCCCTTACACTGCTTTAAATTATGTTTTGTACTAAAGTATTTGTCCATTAACCAGGACAACCTTGTTTTTCCCCCTTTTTTGCCCTTAATTCCTAAACGGTTTGAGCCATAACCCCCCCAAAGCAAATCCTAACCATCCCTTTGTGGTATGGAAACTTGTAGTATAATTTCAGAGAGATCCATACACTGTTGCACAGTTATTGTCTGGAAACTAGAAAATGCTTATTTTTGGCCCCTTTTTGGACCCTAATTCCTTAACTGTTGGTACCATAACCCCCAAAATCAATCCCAACCTTCCTTTTGTGGTATTTAACCTTATGGTCAAATTTCAAAAAGATCCATTCACTTAAACTAAAGTTAGAGTGCGAAAACCAATGTGTCTTCGGACGACGACGCCGACGATATTAAACATAAAAACAGGAAGGCTTATATTAAACATAAAAACAGGTAGGTTTATATTAAACATAAAAACAGGTAGGTTCATATTAAACATAAAAACAGGTAGGCTTATATTATTGAACATAAAAACAGGTAGGTTTATATTAAACACAAAAAACAGGTAGGTTTATATTAAACATAAAAACAGGTAGGTTTATATTAAACATAAAAACAGGTAGGTTTATATTAAACATAAAAACAGGTAGGTTCATATTAAACATAAAAACAGGTAGGTTTATATTAAACACAAAAAACAGGTAGGTTTATATTAAACATAAAAACAGGAAGGCTTATATTAAACATAAAAACAGGTAGGTTTATATTAAACATAAAAACAGGTAGGTTTATATTAAACATAAAAACAGGTAGGTTCATATTAAACACAAAAAATAGGTAGGTTTATATTAAACACAAAAAACAGGTAGGTTTATATTAAACATAAAAACAGGAAGGCTTATATTAAACATAAAAACAGGTAGGTTTATATTAAACATAAAAACAGGTAGGTTTATATTAAACATAAAAACAGGTAGGCTTATATTATTGAACATAAAAACAGGTAGGTTTTATATTAAACATAAAACAGGGTAGGCTTATAATAAACATAAACACAGGTAGGCTTATATTAAACATAAAAACAGGTAGGTTTATATTAAACATAAAAATAGGTAGGTTTATAATAAGCATAAAAATATGTAGGTTTATATTAAACGTAAAAATAGGTAGGTTTATATTAAACATAAAAATAGGTAGGTTTATAATAAACATAAAAATATGTAGGTTTATATTAAACGTAAAAATATGTAGGTTTATATTAAACATAAAAATAGGTAGGTTTATAATAAACATAAAAATATGTAGGTTTATATTAAACGTAAAAATAGGTAGGTTTATATTAAACATAAAAATAGGTAGGTTTATATTAAACATAAAAATATGTAGGTTTATATTAAACGTAAAAATAGGTAGGTTTATATTAAACATAAAACAGGGTAGGCTTATATTAAACATAAAAACAGGTAGGTTTATATTAAACATAAAAACAGGTAGGTTTATATTAAACATAAAAACAGGGAGTGGTATATCAAACAATAAAACAGGTAGGTTTATATTAAACATAAAAACTGGTAGGTTTATATTAAACATAAAAACAGGTAGGTTAATATTAAACATAATTAAAGAACCTTAGTGAGCGCGCTCACATACCCCACGTCCCCACATTGTCATTGAAGAAATAAAATAAGTGTAAGAAAAAAAAATTGAATCATAATTTCCGGTCAATATGCAAATCTACATAGTATGTCCTTATTATCTACAAAGTTTCATGAAATTCTGTTGTGTGGTTTCAGAGGAGTTGTGATGACAAACTGTTGCAAAAGTACATTGAAGCAAATAAGTTCAAAGGGGCGTAACACTAAGAAAAAAAAATGAATCGTAATTTCCTGACTATATGCACAGTATATATCCTTATTATCTAAAACGGTTTCATGAAATTCTGTTGTGTGGTTTCAGAGGAGTTGCGATGACAATCTGTTGCAGTAGTACATTAAAGCAAATAAGTTCAAAGGGGCGTAACTCCTGGAAAAAAAATTGAATCGTAATTTCCTGTCGATATGCACATCTACGTAGTATGTCCTTATTATCTGAAAAGGTTTCATGAAATTCTGTTGTGTGGTTTGAGAGGAGTTGAGATGACAAAAGGTTGCTGTAGTATATTGGGCAAATAAGTTTAAAGGGGCATAACTCCTGGAAAAAAAATTTAATCGTAATTTCCTGTTGATATGCACATCTACGTAGTATGTCCTTATTATCTGAAAAGGTTTCATGAAATTCTGTTGTGTGGTTTGAGAGGAGTTGCGATGACAAAAGGTTGTAGTAGTATATTTGGCAAATAAGTTCAAAGGGGCGTAACTCCTGGAAAAAAATTGAATCGTAATTTCCTGTCGATATGCACATCTACGTTGTATGTCCTTATTATCTGAAAAGGTTTCATGAAATTCTGTTGTGTGGTTTGAGAGGAGTTGCGATGACAAAAGGTTGCAGTAGTATATTTGGCAAATAAGTTCAAAGGGGCGTAACTCCTAGAAAAAAAATTGAATCGTAATTTCCTGTCGATATGCACATCTACATTGTATGTCCTTATTGTCTGAAAAGGTTTCATGAAATTCTGTTGTATGGTTTGAGAGGAGTTGCAATGACAAACTGTTGCAGTAGTACATTAAAGTAAATTAAAGAACCTTAGTGAGCACGCTCACATACCCCACGTCCCAACATTGTCACTGGAGAAATAAAATAACTGTAAGAAAAAAAAATTGTATAAGAAAAAAAAATTGAATCATAATTTCCTGTCGATATGCACATCTACATGTTGCCGAGGTATATTGAAGCAAATAAGTTCAAAGGGGCGTAACTCCTAGAAAAAAAATTGAATCGTAATTTCCTGTCGATATGCACATCTACTTAGTATGTCCTTATTATCTGAAAAGGTATCATGAAATTCTATTGTGTGGTTTGAGAGGAGTTGCGATGACAAAAGGTTGCAGTAGTATATTGGGCAAATAAGTTCAAAGGGACGTAACTCCTGGAAAAAAAATTGAATCGTAATTTCCTGTCGATATGCACATCTACATAGTATGTCCTTATTATCTACAAAGTTTTATGAAATTTTGTTGTGTGGTTTCAGAGGAGTTGAGATGACAAACTGTTGCAGTAGTACATTAAAGTAAATAAGTTCAAAGGGGCGTAACTCCTAGAAAAAAAATTGAATCGTAATTTCCTGTCGATATGCACAACTACATAGTATGTCCTTATTATCTAAAAAGGTTTCGTTAAATTCTGTTGTGTGGATTGAGAGGAGTTGCGATGACAAGAAACAGGACTGACAGACTGACGGACGGACAGACAGACAGACAGACAGACAGATGGACAGACGGACGGACGGGTCAAAAACATTATACCCTCCGCAACTCGTTGCGTGGGGTATAAAAACAGGTAGGTTTATATGAAACATAAAAACAGGTAGGTTTATATTAAACATAAAAACAGGTAGGTTTATATTAAACATAAAAACAGGTAGGTTTATATTAAACATAAAAACAGGTAGGTTTATATTAAACATAAAAACAGGGAGTGGTATATAAAACAAAAAAACAGGTAGGTTTATATTAAACATAAAAACTGGTAGGTTTATATTAAACATAAAAACAGGTAGGTTAATATTAAACATAAAAACAGGTAGGTTTATATTAAACATAAAAACAGGTAGGTTTATATTAAACATAAATACAGGTAGGCTTATATTAAACATAAAAACAGGTAGGCTTATATTAAACATAAAAACAGGTAGGCTTATATTAAACGTAAATACAGGTAGGTTTATGTTAAAAGATTCTAGTTATTTGCTTACTCACACGCAACCCAGGGAAGAATCAGGATAATTTCAAAAAACATCAAAATCATGACTTGTGCCCTGGGAGATGGTTAACCATGGTTGATGATTTGGTGGGTACCCTTGGCTTCCTCAGATAATGACCCTTACTGATTCATTGCATCACAGATATTTGGATCAGGCACCAAATGCAATATTCATAAATATCATTCTCTAAAAAAAAATTTCCTCAATTCAATCTTAAAAAGGTCTGACAGTGTATATACCCTAGAATAAATAAAATTTAAATATTTATGACAAGCTTTTCCTTCAAGCTTTAAGAATAAAAAAAAAAAGTATATTTAAAAAGCTATTGAAATTAATACTAGTAAAGAGATAAATGAACAAGAAAGGTGTAACGGTTAAAAGGAAGATTCAAATAACAACTGAAAATTTGATAAATAAAGTCAAGTAGAAAAGGAAGAATAAAGTCAGCTGATATGAGGCAAACAGCAACGGGAAGTATAATTGTCAGACATCTTTAAATTTTGAAATGGCGTTCGCAAGTTCAATACAAAAAAGTCAAATTCCAGTTGGATGTCAGTTATGTGAAGGTGGAAATAAGATTCAATGGAAATGTATCACATGTGACTTGCTTATGTGCGACAAGTGCAAGGATGGGGTCCATCTAAAGATTGCTAAAGATCATAAAATACTTAACATAATTGACATAGGAAAACCTGACACAATTATATTCAGTGATGTGAAGTGTGACGATCATTCTCAGCAGGCTTGCTGTCTATACTGTAATACTTGTAATAAGTTTATCTGTCCAAAGTGTATCACTAAAGTACATAATGGACATGAGTTAATTGAAGAAGAAGACTATAATAAAGGCAAAGTAGAACTGAAGCCAAAACAGAAAAGTCAGATTAAGTTAGGAATATCCAAAGAATATACAGCAGATCTTATCTCTATTCACGATATAGCCGTATGTTCTGATGGTTCTATGTGGATGGCAGATAATCTCAGATCAAAGATAAAACATGTCAAACTTAGGGAGAATAGAACTGTAGTAATAAGAAGTTTAAACACTAAGACTTATGGAATGGCAAAAACTCATTCAAATAACATTCTTGTTGTAACAGGTGAGACTAAACTCAAATTAATCAACGCCATGACAGGGGAGATGACAGATTTCAGGTATGATGTAAAACCATTGATACCAACCGGTATCCATGTAACCAGTGATCACAGAGTCATCATAGGAGCCAGGTCTCCAGGCAAGGCATTCCCTGCCACAGGAAGACGTGTAGTGGTGGTAATGGATCAGGAAGGAAAACAACTCAAGGAATATGAACATGACAAACATAAGAAACGGTTATTAACCTACCCTGCACGTGTAACCTGTACCAGTAATGGTAATATCTGTGTGGTGGACTGGATAGATTATGATAGGAGAGGTAGAGTGGTAGTGTTATCACCAGGAGGAGACATTCTAGGGACTTACACTGGTCACCCTGATGTCAACACTGAGAAGGATCCATTTATACCTGTAGGAATACTAACCTTACCATCAGATAATATCATTGTTACTGATACAGATAACCATTTATTACATATACTGACTGACCAAGGACAAATTATTACCTACTACAATCTCCATGACATGGGGATCTTACATCCACACTCCCTTGCTCTGTCTACAACAGGAACTATCTATATAGGATGCCTTATTAAGAGAATTTTTTTTTTTATTCCAGTCAAGACCAAACTTTATGAGTTGGAATATTCTGGATTCTAGTGATTTGCCATGTCCATTCTACATCAGGAACTATATCTATAATTGGATGTGTTGTTTTATCATAATGAAAAACTACATCGAACTTCTTCAAAGCATTAAGTTCTAAACTTTTATATACTGGTGCAGGTTGCAGCATATTTGTTAACAGTAGATGCCAATGTTTTTTTAATAAATTTTAGCATGGGTTTAAATATAGGGCAAGAGTCTGGAAACAGTTATATTTGCCAGTCAAGACCTAATCTGAAAGGCCAGATACTAAAATGATATCTTGGATTTAGGTCATGAAAAAAAAATTGCAACTCTTGCCACTCTGGTAGTATTGTAGGAAAATTTGAAAGACCTTCAAATTACCATTTGACAATTCAGGAGATATTTGGCTCATGATCTATTATGGCAAGCTGCTTTTATATATGTTTTATCATTTTCAAGATATCTTTTAAAGTTAAGTAAGATATCTTATAAATAAAATGATATCGTATAAACTATAAATTTAATAAGATATCACATAATTTGCATACAAAAAATCATTTGAATTGCAATTTTAATAAAAAAAAATTCCCTGTTTCATGTTTTATGTTTTCATCTTTAGAAACAGCAGAAATTACCAAATAAATATTTTCCAATGAAGTTTATCAATTATCCTTGTTGGACATGTACATGAAATCGATAGATAGACTTGAAACTAAGACCTTTGTCTCAAAACATTAATCAGAAAAGCTGCTTTTGGGGGCATTCTGGAAGTTGAAACATAGGTATACCCTTTTCCTCCTCTAATGGCTGCTTATTGATTTTGCAAATAATTATATGACACTGAAAATAAATAGGTGTAGGGTGGTATACAGAAATTTTCATTTTCGTAACTTACCATATATATAAAAAAATTTATTCTAATGTCAACAGATGGAGAATTTTTCATTTTTGAGGCATGTTCCAAAAACATTTCAATTTTAGAATGTTCAGAAGGTGAACTGATTTTTGTATTTTCTTAACATGTCATTAATGATTTGGATGGAAAGTAGATTTTCAAAGGATGGTATAGTGTATTTTTATTCAACTTCATATTTTACAGATAAACCCACTAAAAATGTATTTCTTCAACATAAAATAAAAACTTAGAAACTAATTCATTCTTCAGTGCAAAAAATACCCTTCCTGAATTCAAATAAACAAGATTCCTGAGAAATTTATAGTTTAAGTCCATTACTAAGTTCCAAAGTCTGGAAAAATGAAGAAAACAATCCCTCAAACAATTTTTTCATAGCAGATGCAAAACTTCAATATGTGCAATCTTCCTGTGAAGTTTAAGGATCTGGATTGATAACTCTCGGCGGAGTTGATTACACAAAACTTGTACCCTCTTTCATAAATTTTGCTGAAAAATGTCTAAGAAAAATTTGAAGAAATTCCTCAACCAATTACATAATAGCAGGTCAACAATTTCAACATATGTGCAATCCTCCTGTGAAGTTTTAGGGATCAAGGTTGATAACTGTTTGAGAAGTTGATTACACAAAACTTGTACCCTTTTTCATAAATTTTGCTGAAAAATGATTAAGTTGCCAAGTCTGGAAAAATGAGAAAAAATTCCTCAATCAATTCCAAGGTGCACAACTTCAATATATGAGCAATCTTTCTGTGAAGTTTTAGGGATGAACTGTAGGAGTTGGTTACTCAAATTAGGTACCCACTTTTCCCCGCCTGCCCGACACACCATATTATAAAGCTGCTTTGGACTTTGTCCAACCAATACAGAAATATTATAAACTACTTTTAATAGTCCTAGATCATGTGATCATTTGTGATATACAGGTCTGGTTCCCTGTGCAAATAAACATCAAACAAACAGATGCTGTTGACCCAAACAATTTGAAACAGATTTTTTTATATAAGCTGATTAATTTTTTCCACTTAACTGATCTATTGACACTACTGTTTAGTGACACATGTCCTGTCTATTGGTGAAGACTGTATATCACCCTCTACATGTCTTTTGGTTTTTTATAGGCTATAAGGTTGCTGTTTCCAAGTGACATATATCCCATATCTACAATTATATATATATAAACCATGTGCTCATTTCAAATTGTTTTCTAAAAATTAAATACTTACATAAATCAATCAAAGCTGAATTTTCATCATCTTCCCTGTAGGGTGGCAAATCATAATGATGCCACAGTGGCACATCTCTAATTTGATAGTAGCCATGATTTTCTGGAACCCTGGGAATGGATGGTGAAATCCTGTAGCAGTCTGTCCAATGCCCAACTTGTCCTTCATAATGTGCAGGCATCCTTCATTGCTGTCTTCCTGAAAAAAAGGAAAGTTTAAGATGACATAACTACACCAACTATCATGACTATGTCCATATGAGAAATCTTTTTAACTGCTCAGGCAAAAATGCGAAATCTAATTAATGGATTGCAATAATTTTAGGAAGTAATATCACAATTGAAATTATAAATGGGAGTTGTTATTATTGCGAATCTGATACAGTCGCATTTTACGCATTTATAAATAAAAACATTGCAATAATTTCTGAATTTACAGTGTAGAAAAATATTTATTTTGTGACCAAAAAACTGTGATAATTCACCTATGCTCTACGTTTATCCTTGAATTTTTGTGTAGTTCAGACCCTTGTTGAATATTTTGCGATATTTAAATTCTTGGAATAGTTTTTCTACAAATAATATGAAAATCCATAATAGAAAAATTAAGTAATTGTACAACTTCAGAGATTTTCAGACTTCTTACAGATTTTGGAATGAAACATCCCCAAGTCTCCCCAACTGAAAGAGAACTGCTAAACTTTTCTAAACAGTATCTGAACTTTATAAGGGTCTTTATATAAAATCTTCAAATCAACTTTTATGAAGTTTCATTTTATCTGTAAATAACTACAAAATAAAACATTTTCATTCTTCAAATATTAAATCTTCAAACATGAAACTTCGCTTTTATTATGGACATGAAAAGTCTCTAAAATTACAACCAAGAAATTTCGTCATTATCATCTAGACCAAAAGAGTTTTTCTAAATATGTCTCTTAAATATTTCTAAACCCTTGACTTTGTCAAGAGATGTATGAACACTAAATAATGTTACATTTTATCATTATATATTGCAATCCTCTTAAAACAATCACATCCAAATATATTACAGTTCTGTTATCATTCAATATAAGGAATTATACCTTATAGTATAGTCATCAAACCAATCACTAAAATCATAAAATAAAATAACTCATTAATTCTGTGATCTGTGTGACATGACTATAGAGGACCTCAATTAGATACAGCAGAAATCAATAGGATATGATTTAGTCGTTAGTTATCTGTCAGGAAAGGATGGTACTTCAACATGCTATAGCTTTCCTGTAGTTACATCTGATCAAATCAAGTGCACAAACATAAAACGGTGTTCAGAGATCAAGTTTAAACTCATTACAAACTAATAACGTGTATGTGACAGAAAATATCTGGTGCCAAATGAATCAGAGGTATTGATGGTGATCCATATAAATGTTGCCTGTGGACAAACTAATGAACAGCCAATGCATTTTCCTTATTGAAGCATCCCCCTTTTTCCTCTACTTTAATAATTATAAATGATTCGAAAGAAATAACAAGAATGCACATTTTATCCTGTTAAGGCATACCCAAACTGATAATTCAAAGTATCTGAAAACCCAAACTGGTAATTCAAAGTATCTGAAAACATTGGAAGCTGATATTGGCCAGATTCAAAAACGGCTTTTTATAGCTGATTATGCAGAATTGGTTTTGCTCATTGTTGAAGGCTGTACAGTGACCTATTGTTGTTAACTTACTGTGGCAGATTAAGGGGGCCTGGGATGCCCAGGCCCTGCCTTATGGAGCTACATTTATGGTTAATCTTGACTTTTTACCTGTTCCACTCCAAATTTTTTCTAAATCCTGGATCCGAATCTGACTTCTATATCATTTGGTCTCTGGTGGAGATCAAAAAAGGGCTTTTTATAGCTTACTGTGCAGAATGGGTTTTGCTCATTGTTGAAGACTGTATAGTGACCTATAGTTGTTAACTTCCAGTGGCGGATTTAGGGGACATGGGGTGCCCAGTCCCAGGCACCCCCCTTTATGGAGCTACACTTATGGTTAATCTTGACTTTTTACCTGTTCCACTCCAAACTTTTTCTAAATCCTAGATCCACATCTGACTTCAATAGACATAAGAAGATGTGGTATGAGTGCCAATGAGACAACTCTCCATCCAAGTCACAATTTGTAAAAGTAAACCATTATAGGTCAAAGTACGGCCTTCAACACGGAGCGTAGGCTCACACCGAACAGCAAGCTATAAAGGGCCCCAAAAATGACTAGTGTAAAACCATTCAAACAGGAAAACCAACGGTCTAATCTATATAAAAAACGTGAAACGAGAAACACTTATGAACCACATCAACAAACGACAACCACTGAACATCAGGTTCCTGACTTAGGACAGGTGCAAACAAATGCAGCGGGTTGAAACATTTTAATAGGCGCCAACCTTCACCCTACCTGAAACAATAGTGTAATATCACAACATAGAAAGACACACTTTAAAATATCAATTGAAATGGCTTAACTCAATCAAAAGACATATTAACAATCAAAGCGCGAAAGCGCTGTAAAGGCAGTTAATTACAGGTTGTGTGTATTTTTAGTCCAGTTATATCATTATCTTGCATAGTACATTGTACTTATCAGAGGTGGCTTTCAGTATTTAAGATTTAGAGTTCTCTAATGATATTGAACAAGTTTTATGAATGTCATATTCTGAGCACTATATGAAGGCGATTGTTCTCACTTGTTTATGAACTAGTGAATTATGTCCAGTTTGTACCTTTTTTATCTATGTTTATAGTCAAATACTGTTTAAAATAGTTTGGCATTTTCTTTTAAGTAATAAGTAAATGTTATCAACTGTATTTTATTCAACTTTGCAAATGTGGTTTGTTACTGGTAAGTACAATGTATGGATGATAGTTGTTTCATTGGCAATCATAACACATCTCCTTATTTATATAATGATCTATATTCAACGACCTCAGGTACAAAAAAATTTATGTAACTAAACTATGATGGGAAACCTTTGACCTCTTTCTTTAATATAAACTTTTGATTTGGTACCATAGAACTATGTAGAATAAATGTACATTGCAACATGTCAAC